TGTGTGTCTGTCTGTCTGTCTGCGTGTGTGTGTGTGTCTGTCTGTCTGTCTGTCTGTCTGTCTGCGTGTGTGTGTGTGTGTGTGTGTGTCTGTCTGTCTGGCGCAGTGTAGCTTGGACATGCGTGTTCACCTCCTCGTTGATGGCGGCGATGGACTCCTTGTCCTCGTCCGTGAGAACCTGGTAAACAGCGGCAACTAACACATGAATGAAGCCGCTTCAACGCGCACACAATGACAAACAACAACAGACGCGCACAGAAAGAGACGGAGAACACGTTGACACATCGTCACTCCCTTCATCACTCCTTTCATCACTCCCTTCAACACACGCACCACTTGGGTCATCTTTGAGTCGAAGAACTTTGCGCTGAAGGTGAGGGCGCGGTGGACAAAGTTACCCAGGTTGTTCAGCAGCTCGTTGTTGTGCTTTGCAATCAGATCCGCCCAGTCGAAGTGCGTGTCTGGCAGTGCAGAGATGGTGCAGCGATGACAGGCAAGGCAGGCGTTCGGGGATATGTGTAGGGCATGGAGGTGAATGGAGCTGTGGCAACACGAGAGCGGCGACGGAGCTCCAATCCACACACAAACGTACACACGCACACAACAAGCAGTGTTTGGCATGTGTGACCAATGCAAGGAGGGTCAGGCACAGTCATCAGCAGCGATGGGCACCTGCGGTCTCCGGTCGAATGTAGAGGAGATAGAAGCGGTAGACATCGGCCGGGATGCCGCTCTCCTGCGCATTGTTGCCAAACACGCCCACCCCACGGCTCTGGTGACAGGACATGCAATGTGGGGATGGGAGTAGGGATGAGGATGAGAAAGAAGATGAGATGCTGTGTGTGTGTGTGTGTGTGTCTGTCTGTCTGTCTGTGTTTGTGTGTGTCTGTGCGTGTGTGTCTGTGTGTCTGTGTTTGTCTGTCTGTCCGTCTGTGTGTGTGTCTGTCTATCTGGACGGACCTTTGAGAACTGGCGGTCCTCGTAGTTGAGGTACTCTGTGGCGCTGAGGTGGTTCACCTTGGTCCACGTCTCCCGCGTGCCAATCAGCGACGATGGGAAGATGATCGAGTGGAAAAGCACATTGTCCTGGTGCAACAAAGCGAGATGATGACGAGCAACCAGACGGGGGTGGATGAGCATTCATAGTGGTGTTGATGGGGATGAGGCAGCTTCCTTGTAACGGCAGCCAGGTCATACACAACAAAATCGCCACAAACAACAACAACAACAACAACAACAACAACAACAACAACAACAACAACAACAACAACAACAACAACAACAACAACAACAACAACAACAACAACAACAACAACAACAACAACAACAACAACAACAACAACAACAACAACAACAACAACAACAACAACTTAAACAACTTAAACAAAAACTTAAACAACAACAACAACTTAAACAACAACTTAAACAACAACAACAACTTAAACAACAACAACTTAAACAACAACAACAACTTAAACAACAACAACAACAACAACAACGCCACCCCCATCACATGTGCGCACCTTTGCCATGAACTGGTAAAGCTGGACGTCGTCCGGGTTGCGCCACCACTGCTGCCACTCGTCCGTGTAGTTGGCGGTGATGGAGATGTACCCAATCGTCGCGTCAAACCACACATAGAACACCTGCGCAAAGCACACACGCACGCACATTGGAGAGGGAGCAGGTGAGGCAAGGCGACATAACAATCAAAATACACTGCAACAGCCCGCATCTGCACATGCTACACACGCACACACGCACGCACACACACACACACACGCACACACGCACACATACGCACATACGCACACACGCACGCACACGCACACGCACACACACGCACACAAATCACCACACACCCGCAACTACCCCTCCTCTTCTTCCCCCCCCCCTTGGCCTTTCCACCTCTCCCCTATGTGCCGCCCAACCTTGTCTGTGAACCCTTCGAGTGGAACCGGCGTCCCCCACTTGAGGTCGCGGGTGATGGCGCGCGGCTCCAGTCCCCGGTCAAACCACGATTGCGTAATGTCCTGTGCGTTGGCCGACCACACCCCCTTTTCGACGGCCTGGGCAAAGTATGCCTGCATCTCTGGCTGCAGCTTGTCGAGGCAGAGGTAGAGGTGGGTGGATGTGCGCAGCTGTGGCGTCTTGCCGCAGTCCTTGCGGTACTTGCACCGTGGATCCTGACGGTGATAATGAGCAGGGCGGCGATGGTCGTCATGATGACAGTGGTGGTGGTGGTGGTGGTGGTGGTGGTAAGAATGGTGGTGGTGGTGGTGGTAAGAATGGTGAGAAGGGGAGGAGAGTGTCGAGGAGAGATGAGAAGATGGATAACACCAACAAAGGAGAGGTGTGCAACACAGAGAGACGATACACACACGCATGCAGTACCTTGAGCTGGTGTGCGTGGAGCGGGTGCCCGCACTCGTCGCACTGGTCACCTCGCGCGTCCGTGTATCCTGAACAGCCAAGAGAGGGGCGTAGATGTTGGTGTGAACCATACTGTGGGCCCTCCAACGCACAAAATACACACACATATGCCAACACACACACGCTCACACACAAACACACACGCGCGCAAACACACACACACACACACTTGTACACTCGCATGAAACTACAAGTGTGCGCGCAAATGACATGCAGTTGGCGTGCTGGATCACCCACTCCGTATCGTGTGCACGTGTGTGACTCACCGCAGTCGGGGCATGTTCCCTCGACGAAGCGGTCGGCAAGGAAGCTATCGCAGCTCTCGCAGTACCACTGCTCCTCATCCTGTGGTTGACAAGGCGGAGGATGGTGAGTGGGGGGAGGAGGATACATGGCACCCACGCACACAATCGTGCACTCAGAACGCATATCCATGCACACACCCACACACGCACAAAAGAGTTCACACACACGCACACACAAAACAAAAAATGCACACACCCACACACGCACAAAAGAGTTCACACACACATACTCACTCACTCACTCACTCACTCACTCACTCACTCACTCACTCACTCACTCACTCACTCACTCACTCACTCACTCACTCACTCACTCACTCACTCACTCACTCACTCACTCACACACACACACACACTCACACACACACTCACACACACACTCACACACACACTCACTCACTCACTCACGCACACGCACGCACACGCACGCACACGCACGCACACGCACGCACGCAAACGAGCACACAAGGTGGTCATGTGCGGTACCTTCTGGGTGATGAAGCCGTTCTTGTGGCACGCCCAGAAAATCTCCTGGGTGACCTCTGTCTGCTTCTCCGTGGACGTGCGGCCAAAGTAGTCAAACGAGATGTTGAACCAGTCGTACACCTCCTTGTGGATGGCTACACCAGGGTGGAGGTGGTGATGCAAACAGTGGTGGGGTTATGCGGAAAGTGGGACAGAGGCATGAGTGTTGGCATGGTGGCGATATTTGCGTTTGCAGTCGTGGCGGTGGTACGATGGTGTGGAGAGGGCGGGGTGGAATAGAAACAAAGGGAAACGAAGGGAAACGAAGGGAAACGAAGGGAAACGAAAGTGGAGCATGTGCGCTAAAACGATGAATGATGCGCATACCGTGGTACTTGTCGCAAATCTGCTTTGGCTCCAGGCCCTCGGCGATGGCCTGTGCACGTAAAGCAGCACGTAAGACGTAAAATCACGTGAGGGTGAGGTCGACGCAAAAGCAGGTGCTTGTATCGTCGTGTGCGCGCACCAAAAACATGTGCATGAACAATCAAGTGGCAGCAACCACACCTTGGTCTCCGTGGCGGTGCCGTACTCGTCCGTGCCGCAGATGAAGAGGGTGTTGTAATCGCGAAGGCGGCAGAACCTGCAAGAATGTGGTGAGACGTGCGTGGTGAGACATGAGCCAATGGTCTTGGAGGCGGCACGGTTCGCACGATGCACCCACATCCCCACTCTCACAACCACAACACCACGCAAGCACACACCTGGCGAACACGTCGGCAGAGAGGACACAGCCGATGATGTTGCCGAGATGAGGCACGTTGTTCACATACGGCAGCGCCGACTGTGTAATCAGCAAGAGGCGACCAAGACCAATCAAAGTTGAGTGAGGACAGCGAGCATCATCACACACGTGCGCAAGTTACCCCACAGACAAGGAAGGCTTTGCCGCACCTTCCACATGACACCACACACACACCACCATCACCACCAGCATACCCACCGTGATGAGGATGTTGCGCTTGCCCTTGATGGGCAGGATGGGTTGCTTTGGCGCTGACATTGTCGCGTTGAGACGATGAAGAGATGATGGAAGGAGGAGTTCAGGGGGTTGCTGTAATCAACAACAACAGCATTGGGGGGAATGACACCTGCTGCTCTAATCGTGTGCGGTGTGTGTGCGTGTGTGTGAAGAAATAGTACGTGCTTTTAAAAGGCCATGTGTCCCATTTATAGGATTGGAAACGAAGGCCCTCAACAACAAAACAAGACAGCGCAGCACAACAGCATCATGGGTGACAAGGGACAAGCCAGCAGCAAGCCGCCTCCCAACGTGGTGCACCAGAACGCCATCATGGGTATGTGTGTCTGTCTGTCTGTCTGTGTGTGTGTGTGTGTGTATGTGTGTGTGTGTGTGTGTATGTGTGTGTCCATGTGTCTGTATGTATGTATGTGTGCTTGTCCATCTGTCTGCCTGTCTGTCTGTCTGTGTTGGAGAAAGATGCTGCTTGCCGGCGCTTGGCGAGACACACACACACTCTCTCTCTCATCACCACTCTCATCCCAATCAATTCTCATCCATGCACTCTCCCTCACCCCCCTCTCCTCATTTGTGATGCGCTGCTGACAGTTGAGACCATCAAGAAGGAGCACCGTAACCAGAAACTCTTCACAAAGTATGTGATGTGATGTGTGTGTGTGTGCGTTGCAATGTTGTCATGCGTCTGCGTTTTTGATTTGCAAGGGAGACACCACATCATCAAGATACCACACACACACGCGCGCGCGCGCGCGCGCCTCACACACACACACATACACACCCGTCTCTCACTTACACGCCTCTCACACTGTGCGACTTGTAACCCTCAGCTACACAGTCAACCCACACGGGAAGCCGCTGTGCCTTGCAGATAAGCCCAACAGGACAGTGCCAGCAGAGTTCTCCGAGCAAACACAATCGTCGCTGCTCACAACCTTGCAGAAGGGCAAGCAGACGCCGAAGCAAAAATACTCCATGCCCATGACCAGCTCACAAGAATATGGTTGGGACATTGAGGACGATGTAAGTGTTGCCAGGCGGAGTGCGATGAATGGGCTTGCACATACAATACAGTCAGCTTGGTGTTTGCAGTTGCTTGTCGTTTCGTACTTGCAGGTGCAGAGATCATGTGCATGTGAGTGCGTGTATGTATTGTCTGTGTGTGTGTGAGTGTGTGCGTGTGCGTGTGCGTGTGTCTGCCTGCCTGTCTCTCTGTCTCTCTGCCTCTCTGCGTGCAGAACGTGCCCCATCCTCACTGTGCATGTGTTGTGTTGTGCCAGGACATGAAGAAGCCGCCGACGGTGCTGCACAGACCAAAGGAGACAACAGAACTCACCCGCTTCATGAGCGAATTCTGGAAGCAAAAGGTGCGTGTGTTGGGGGGGGGGTGCGTGCATGCGTGCATGCGTGTGGTGGCATTGTAAGATGAAGCAAAGGGGATGATATCTTCGCGTGTAGTTGCTGTAACGGGCGCCAACTTGTTGATGACTCAAGTTGCTCACATCCCGTATCGTGAACGCTTTGTCACCAACAGGAGCAAGCAAACCTTGGGAGTCAACAGACCCAAGAAGCGGCCAAGAAGTAACCAGCACAGTCACATCTCACCCATCATCCATCAATTATCCCTCTCCCATTTCCAACCCACGCACACACGCACACACTCATGCACACACTCATGCACACACACACACACAAACGCAACGCACAAGTATGCACGCACGCACAAGTGTCATGCAGAATGATTTCCTTGACCAAAGGGGGTTTTGCTTTATCGTTACTTGCAACCACACGACTCTAAGCTGCCTGCACCCTATCACCGTCACCACCGCCATCACCACCACCATCATCGTCGTCATCACCATTGTCGTCGTCGTTGTCATGCCTGTCACCAGCATTAATTGTGCGCGTGTGTGACCAAGTACATACATCTGATCACAGAGTCAGGAGCAGATGCTTGTGCATGTGTGCACATGTATCAGAGAGAGGAGAGGGGGGGGCGAGAGCTGGTCCGGGTCTCATGCAGTCTTATCAGCTGCACCATGATCGCCATCACCATCACCATCATCATCACCATCATCGTCATCGGCAGCATCGGCAGCCGTGCCCTGTTCTTCCTCCTCCTTTTGCTTTTTCGCTTCAACTTTCGCCATTCGCTCGGCAATCGATTCTGCGGGGAATGTGCAGTGCGGACAAGGGGAGGTGAGACGTAATGCTGATGTGTGTGTGTGTGTCTGTGTGTGTGTCTGTCTGTCTGTCTGTCTGTCTGTCTGTCTGTCTCTCTGTCTGTCTGTCTGTGTGTGTGTCTGTCTCTGCCTCTGTCTCTGTCTCTGTCTCTGCCTCTACCTCTGTCTGTGCATCTGCACACAACTCCCCCCCCCCCTGGGCGGCATCTGACCTTCGCGCTGGCGCTGCATGAGGGGCCGGTGCTTTGGATCCGCTGGCCACTGCACCTCATCCGCACATTCCGAGAACGCCTGTTGAATCGTGGTTGTTGTGGTCGTGATCGTCATGGTGGTCGTGATGGTCATGGTGGCGGTGGTGATGGTGGTAGTGGTGCAGATGATGGTTAGTGGTGGAGATGATGACAGCAATGGTGAGTCTGGACGTTGCATGACACCGCTCCCGGCACGTCCGAACAACCAAACACGGCATCATCAAGGCCGCATGCACTGCCTTTGTGCTCGTTGCACTATCACTGTACCTTGCCCTCGTATTGGCGGACACCGGTGTGCCCAAAAGCCGTCATGAAGCAGCGAAGCAGCGCATTCCTGTTGGTGCCAGTGGTGGTGTGAGCACAGAACTACTGCCATGCAGCATGGGACGTTGAATGCAACCACAATACACAATGTGACGCTGTACGCGCTAACCCATCATGGCACGCACACATGCGTACACACATACGTACACACACACACACACACCTGATTGAGTTTGTCTGCCAGAGGGAGCGCCAGTGCGTGTGTATGCGCGCGGCGTGCTGCTCGTCGTTGCCGCTCCAGTCGATGCCATCAAACTTGCAATCGTACAACACCAGCTGCAATGCACGTGGTGGTGGTGGCGGTGGTGATTGTGCCGGAATCAGGTCAGCATGCGACAAAACAAAAAAAAAACACATATACATCCACACTTACACGCACACACACACACACATACGCACACATACGCACACATACGCACGCACACACACACACACACACACACACACACACACACACACACACACACACACACACACACACACACACACACCACAACACACCACAACACACCACAACACACACACCACAACACACGCACGCACGCACAACAACCATCAAACTTCTTCCCCCCCCCCACCCAATCTCTGCCTCTTCGTGACCCATACCGGGAGCTCGCTGGCCATCACGTATTGGGGTTTGTGTGTGCACTCGTCGATGTTGAGGAGGTGTCTGACCATCCCGGGCTGCTCATCGCCGCGTCCAACCATAAACAACACCGCCATCATGCACCGAACCTGCGCACAGAGGTAGGGTGTGCGTGTGTGTGTGTGTGTGTGTGTGTGTGTGTGTGTGTGTGTGTGTGTGTGTGTGTGTATGTGTGTGTGTGTGTGAGGGGATGTAATTACTGAGTAAGACCAGAGCTATTCCACGTTACACACAGGCATGCGAAGAGTGAGTTTGGTCCTCCGCCAACCGACCTGGTGCCAGAGGAAGGCATGGCCGATGATGTTGAATTCCCACAGATCAAAGTCGCCGTCGGAGCTGAACATATTGTCGCACACACGCACGCACGTGTACACCATGAGCTGCAGAACGAGCACGGTGACCATCACCATCATCACCATCATCATCATCATCATCGTCGTCGTCATCATCACCATCATCATCATTATCGTCACCTGTGCACGGATGCGTCGCCAATCTCCGCTGGACACACGCGCGCCTCTTTGATCGTCCGCACGAAATTCGTCACGCCGCCAGCCACATCGGCCTGACGTGCAGAGTGCAGTGTGGCGTGAAATGAATGCTCTCCGTGTCAAACAGCGGTACAGTGCCTCACACGCACGCACGCACGCACGCACGCACGCACGCACACGCACGCACACACACATGCACATGCACACAAACATACACATGCACACCTTGCAGAAGTTGCGAAAGTCGTGTTCGCCGACGAGATGATCGCAGGCGGCCTGCATCGCCTGTGCACCGGGCAGCAGCAGCAGCAGCAGCAGCGGTGGTGGTAGCGGTGGCGGTGGTGTGATCGTTGTCTTGTGAGAACAAAGGGAAGTAAGGCTATACACACACACACATGCATGCACGCATGCACGCACGCGCGCAGACACACACATACACACGCACATGTGCGCAACAGACAGACGCATGAGTGGCATGAAAAGAAGCATGCATCGCACATGTCATGCGCTCACCGCCGTGTCCATGTTGGCCCGATGGAAAAAGTATTTGTAGTGGCGGGCGTTGCAGCTGAACCTGCCCGGGTAGATGGATGAGAGGAGAGATGGAACGAGGGTGCGTCGCTGTGAGATGATGGTTACCTTGGTGGCGTGCTCAACAACAGCTGAGTGATTGCCGTGGTGACGAACACAAAACCAGTCGGGAATGCTCACACACACACACACACACACACACACACACACACACACACACACACACACACACACACACAATCTGTAACATGCAACACGTGCTCTCCCCGCGACCACTCCCAATGACCAATGCCCCTCATCGTGCCACCTTGCGCTAAAGTCTGTGTCGACGGCGCCCCAGTCGACGACGCGGATTTCGGGCGGGAGGAGCCCGTTAAGGATCTTCGTGTAATCGAGCTCGTCAACCGTTGCTTGCAGGCACAACGAGAGACGATAACAGGGAGATGTTGGTTTGACGTAGGCACTCATTCTTAGCAAGCACGCGTGCTTCACACAAGCACATTCATTCCCACATGCGCACATGCATTCACACGTCCACACATGCATGCACACACTCCCACCACACCGCCTACCTTTTGCCTTCTTCTTTGCTGGCTCAACTGATGGCTTTGAGATGAAGCCGCGGCACTCGTTCAGGTTGCTCCGAACAACCAGAGACACCACCTATCACGCACCGTTAATGCAGTGATAAGGATTCGCAAGCAGAAAAGGCCAACCCTTAAGGCACCCCACAGAGGTGTCTTTCTGCACACTTGTAAAACTCGCTCGCTCACGCACGCACACGCACGTGCACATTCACACACACACGCACACACACACACACATACACACACACACACATACACACACAAAGCACACACACTCGCACACTCGCACACACGCACGTACACATTCACACGCACAAAGGTGCAGACCTGGCAGTATGCGCTGACGCCCTTGTCTGTGCGGCCGCATCTGGAGTAGTCGGCAGTCTTGATGTCCTCAACCAGCTTTGACTTCTCGAGCGCTTCAAAGAGGTGGGCCTCAATCGTGTCGGGTGCGGAGATTTGGATTGCAAGCCCATGGTACTTCTCGCCGAGGTAGGCAACTTTAAGCGCAATCTTCCTTTTGCTGTACCTGCACAGTCGGTATGTGGATGTGCGAGAGTATATACGTTTGAGTGAGTGAGTGAGTGAGTGAGTGAGTGAGTGAGTGAGTGAGTGGGTGGGTGAGTGAGAGAGACGCAAGGTTTCGTGTGTGAGTGAGTGAGTGAGTGTGAGAGAGACGCAAGGTTTCGTGTGTGTGAAAGTATCATCAGGTCACGTGAAATGCGCGTCCTCTCTTCTCCAACGCAAGAGCAATGTCTCACCTGGAAAAGTCAAATGGCTTCTGGGGTTTGGACTTCTTGCCAGACTTGCGGGCAACGTTGGCAATCGGCGGCAGCGTCAGCTTGTTACGGAGAAGCGCTTGTTCCAGATCAAGGCACCGCTTGATCAGCGCCTGCACGTGCACACACACGTGACACGTGGTACATGCCCATGATGATGAGACAAGGGCAACAACAACAACAACTTGTCACACACAAACGACGCTTCTCGACAACTCAACACGCGTGTACGCACACACACACACACACACCTCTCTTGAGACGCTCTCCAGCAGCTTCCTCGATGACATCCTGTGCGTGTGTGTCGTGTGTGTGTGTGTGTGTTTTCGCGGCTCTTCTCCTCTCTCCTGTCTCTTCTTCCGCAATGGGTGGAAATTTATGTGCATCATTCGACAAACGTCACAACTTGCAGTGTCACTGGGTGGCGACAGTGTGGTTTGGTGGTGGCGCGGGTGTGCCTGTGGTGGTGGCGCTGCTGTCGTCGTCGTCTGTCTGTGCACGCCAGAGACCATACTCCTCGCCAGGATGCACCTGCCACAGAAGAAGTGTGCCATCCTCCGAACACGACGAAAACGACTGCCCGTCGGGTGAAAACCGCACGCAATGCACCGCCCCAAAATGCTTGTTCAACTCGTCTGAATGTGATGTGAATGTGTTGTGTGTGTGTATCTGAGCGAAACGAATATGCAAGGAAGAGAAGCAGAGGCACATTGGAAAAGACAGCAAGCCCGGGATCGCACTGCGTTCCCCACACAAGCACACACACAGACACACACACACACACAAGCACACACACACACACGCACGCACGCACGCACCGCGACAAGCTCACCTTGCACCGCGCCGTCTTCAGTGCAGACATGGACAAGCTGGTCTTCTCCGCCCCACACGAGCATATCCTCGGCATGATGCGCAGCTGCTGTGTAAACGGGTGTCGGTACCTGTACTGTGTGCTCAACGCTCGTGCTGCCACGTTCGCGCGCGCGTGTGTGTGTGTGTGTGTGTGCGTGCGTGTGTGTGTGTGTGTGTGAGGTGTGAACAGCACAACAGCAAGCCTCTATCGTGTTGGTGATGTTTCGAATTAAGAGCACCCTTGTGCACTGAAACGCACCGCGCTCCATGCTCCACGCCCACATGCTCACCCTGTGATGTCGAGGCGCTTGATGCTGGAGGAGCAGCTGGCGAGAATACGCCCGCTGCAGGTGTGAAGAGGGACAGGACAATGTGCGTGCGAGAGGGTTGAGTTGAGACAACGATCAAAGGAGTAAACCAACATGGCAATACAGCAAGACAGCAATACAGATATGTCGTTCAGTCGTTTGACAGGGCAGACAATGTTGATGTTGCTGTCAACGCTTTTCGGCAAGCAGGCCTTACTCTGCTTTGCGGCACAAGTCCTTAATTGGATCCCCAATCATTGTGTTCATCTCCGCACTGTTGGTGCGGTCATATGTTCTGCAAGTCACAGTGTGGCACGAGGTCGGCAGATGGAAGAAGTGCTGTGAGCGAACTTCCAAGCTTACAGCAAAATCAAACCACCCCCACAAGTCTACACACATGCCTAACTGACCCTCGATGTTCCCACGAGCACCGCTCCAACATACACTGACAGACATACACACACACACCACATCTGAAACTCGAATTATGCTTGCTTGCTTGCTTCACCTGATGATGCCATCTTCGCCGCCGCTCAGGATGTGGTTTCCGTCAGCCGTGAACAGCACGCGGTTGATCACTTGGTCGTGTGTTGAAATAACGTGGCCTGCACCAAACGACGAGCACGCAACAAGGCAACAGTGAGTATAGGGCGGGGGCGGTGTGAGCGCGGGTGGCTGAGAGTTATGGATTGCGGCATTCATAGTGACAAGATGCAGGACCGTTACGGCCGCAACGCAAGAGCCCGCACTGCACAACCACAAAGCACAAAAACAAATATGCTCACCGTCTTGGTTTGCGCGAAGGTCAAAGAGGCGAACCTTCTTGTCTCCACATGCTGTCGCCACCAAGTTGACATCCTGCATCATGTGCATGCAAGCAAGCAACGGGAAGAAAGCGAAGAACCCGAAGAGTCAAGAGCAGTTTCAACCACCGTCGCAAAGGAAAAAAAATGCAAGACATTCAAGGCACCGACACTTCAGCACAAGGTTGCACCGAAAAAACAAACACAGCCCGATCACAGTCACAGCAGGACGGTTACCGGAGAGAGGGAGACGGCCTTGACGATGTGTGGGTGCTGCAGAGTTTGGATGACTTGACCACGCGTGGCGTCAAACAGCTTCCTGTTGCGTGTCGTGTTGTGAACAAAAAGACGTGAGATGAAGCGGCAAGCAGGATGTTAACCCTGCTTGCATGCAGTCATGGGCATGCCATTGCAGGGCATGAATGCACGCGAGGGCTGTTTGGTGGGTGGCGGGATGTGATTTGGATTTGCTTGTTGGTTCTCAGGACGCACGCAGAAAAGTCGGCGGATCCGGTCATGACGCGCTGTCCCATGACATCAATGTCAACGCCCCACACAGCGCCATCGTGGTCCTCGAAGGTGCCGATCCAATCGCCAGTCTGCCCGTTCCTCAGCATGGGCTTGCCGTCTGCCAACAACACAAGCAAAGCAGTGAACCGCCAGGGATTGTGTGGTCATGTAATGCTGTTAAGTGGGTGACAGTGACCGTGAAACGAGTCGGTGGATCTCAGGCACGGCAGACGACGACAACAAGCAAAAAAGCCCCACATGTCAACAGATTCGCGGGGTTGAGGGAAGGAGAGCAGCAGCTCCAACAATCAAGACTCGCAACCCCACACAACCCAGGGAGTTAGTTCGTTGCCTGCCTGCAAGCACACCTTTGCTGGCGGAGACGAGGAAGATGCCGTCCGGTGTCATGCCGCTGTATGCGAGCTGCAGCACGGGGCGCGTGTGGCCCACGCACGACAGCGGGATCCTTTTCGGCGGCATTGTTGTGTTGCAAGAAGGCTGGAAGAGGAGGGAGGGCTAGTGCGTGAAGAAGGAGATGGGGGAGACAAGGGGGAGAAGAAGAGGGAAACACAGGGGGGACACAGAGTCGGCGTAGCTGGCGCAGCGGAGACAAGCAAGCTGGATGGCTGGCTGACAATCAATCAATGCGGCTTGAGCGGCCCAGGGGCATGAGGAGATGGGTGAGCGAGCAAGCGAGCGAGCAAGCTGTGTGTGGCAAAATGCAACTGTCCTTCCTTCCTCTTTTTGGCTTGTAACCGTCTTTGTGGGCAATTCCAACTTTACCACTTGGCATTCCGCGGCGCGCGTTGGTAAAAACAAAAACCAGTCACCACCAGAAGACGCAAACCGCGCACACCAACCACCACAAACCACAACGAACAACAACCATGGGCACGCATGAGGAGGATCCACGGGAGCTGGCAAAGAAGCTGGTGATGCTATCAGAGTCACCGGGACGGGCCACAAGATCGTCCACACCCGACGATCAGCAACAAGGAGGAGACCGTGCAAGCGCCAGCAGCAACGAGAACAATGACACTGCAACAGCAGCAGCGGCGGCGACGACGGGAGCGACGGCGCATCACACAGCACGCAGTGGTAGAAGACGCACACCAACGAGGAAAGCAGCCACCGCACCGTCGAGCAGAGCCGATTCTGCAAAGGCGTCGCCATCACCGTCACCGCAGAACGCGAGGAAGCGTGCAAAACGCACCCCGCAGGCAACCCACCCGCAACAACCACCACCAACGACCACCGCCGCACTGTCGACGCCGACAGCTGCAGAGTACATCCAAAGCCAAATGACCAACATCCAAGATGCATCCGTGCCAGCTACACCTGCCATGTCAACAGGGGCAACAGCAGCGACGCCTTCATCGTCCTCCGCAGCGTCGACAGCAGCGTCCGTACTGGCCACACCGACGCGATCCCGGCGCAGCCGATCGTCAAAGTCTGGCCAGCAGTCGCCGTCCACACACCAGGCACGTCGTGGCAAAAGCAAAGGGGTCAAGGGCGCGCACGTGATGACCATCTTTGAGCGTGACATCAACCTCCTCGCCATTGACAAGGTAAATTGTGATCTGTGGGTGGGTGTGCTTGAGAGTGTGTTTGAGAGTTTGTGTGTTTGTGTGTGTGTTTGTATGTTCACTTGTGTTTGTGTTTGTGTTTGTGTGGGTGTATTTGTATGTTCACTTGTGTGTGCGTGTTTGTATGTGTTTGTGAGTGCCCTGCTTTGTATGGGAACTGCAACAGCAATGCCAGCTTGTTTGGCTCAATCACGTGCCTCGTGTTGGTCCTGGGACAACCGACTGCGGTTGTGTGGAACAGGACACGTCGCTGTACAGTGCATGCCGTGCATGGATGGCCGTGGACACAACCGGCGACAAGCTCCGTGCCAGGTGTGTACATGTGTGTGTACACGTGTGTGTGTGTGTGTGTGCACGTGTGTGCACGTGTGTGTATGTGTTTCAGCTTTCCTGCATGTCTCGTTTCGGAAGCCGCTTTATGTATCATCAACACACAACACACACACACATACAAACACCCCACAGCGTGAAGCAGCCGCAGACACCGGCCACGTTTTCGTTTCCCGCGCCAGATACATCTGCGCCCATCGACTACGGCCTGCACGTGCGCCCAGAGCTGCAGAAGGCCATGGCGAACGTCGACGCATGTGCGTTTTGTTGGAGGAGAGGGGCGATGTTGTTGAATGTACTGGGACGAGGGGGGGGAGGTGTACGCTTGCTGCTTGTGATTGTAACTAACTCGCTCCCTCGCTCACACACACACACACACACACACACACTCACTCACTCACTCACTCACGCACGCACGCACTCACTCACTCACACACACACACACACTCACTCACTCACTCACTCACTCACTCACTCACCCTCACTCACTCAC